TGACCAATCTGTCAGCCTCAGCCTAGGGGTTGTAGTAGTAGTCAGGGCTGTCCTACCCCCTCCTTGTACTGACAAATGATTAACTGGGAGCTCTGCTTTCGTGGGGAACCATCAGTAACCCTGGATGTCTTATTATTTCACCGATTGTTACACAGAATTGTTCTTCAGCTGAAGAACACAAGTAAGATTAAAAACAGAGGAGAGAGACTTTTCAGCCCAAGTAGCCTGTTCCCATCTTCTTGAAAGAATTTTAAGACAACGCCAGCCACCTGAAAGATTTGATTAAAAAAAGTGTCTTCCGCTCTTGTTTTTAAATGCTCTTCAACATAGTTTGCACTTGTGCTCTCTGCTTGTTGCTTCGCAGTTAATTCTGAAGAATTATTCCTCATTTGTTATCTGTAATTGGTAATTAGTCAATGATCAGTACACATCTCAGACTATTAGCACTATCTCATGTGTAACTTTCTTAGTAGTCTGTCATTCTTCAGACAGTGTAAAAAGTCTGTTAGCCTATTAATGGTCTTTTTTGATATAGGGTTTTACTCATTTTAAATTCTAGTAATTGCTGCTGTGGGAGTGATGGGGAGAGTCCCTCAGATGCTGCCACCTAGTCAAGCAGTATAGCACAGGGAACCTCACCCCTCTTTGATCATACCTGTGACTGGTAGTGCTGGGAATCACAGCCTCAATGCCACAGGGAGCTGGGCTGAAATAAGGGCATAGTACAGTACCACAGTGAGAGTGCAGCCGTACTGGGAACTGCCACACTACAAGGTCATTGGGTTCAGATAGGACATTGTACCAGACAAAACCACACCCCCTGGGAGCCTCTGAATACTGTGGACTTCCATTACACCGCTGTGCCAGATGCAATCTCCACACTGCGTTTCGTTCCTTCTTAAAAGGAAATGCAATCTTCCTGTACAGCAAGAAAGGATCATTTTCTGGTGTTCACAAAATTCTTAAGAAAGAAGAGAAGGCTCCCTGTGTCACACGGCTCCAGGGGTAGTGGTTGCATGTTCGATGGCTCGGTGATGCAGCCTGGCATGTCCTGGAGTGGTGGAAAGCTCAGACTAGTAACAAGCTCAGTCTGCTGTAGGGGGATGCACCCACCCCCTCCCCGTCCCCATGACCACCCCATCGCTCTCCGTCTTTGTACTGCCAGTCCAGAGCCCTGTGTGCGTGTCAGCCGTGCCCCCACAGAGCCTTCCTCTCGTGGCCTGCAACCCCCATCACAGCTTCCCTGGCAGATCCGACCCGGCAGATTCCGTATCCCCTTCTAATCGGAATCCTGCGGGGCATGACCTTCTTCTGAAAGGGCGCTCGGTAAGACCCGCAGCCCCTCCCGGCGCAGGACGCGCTCTGTGTGCAGAAGACGCCTCTGGGCCCGTCCTGCACTGCTGCACTCGGACTTGAAAAGACAGTGCCCTCTATAATGCATTGTGTTTTTGTCCCCGGCACCCTGTTCTGCTACCAGTGATAGAAACAAGGGTTATCCGAAATCACAGATACGTGTTTCATTTGCATAAAACCCAGAAATGATTAATCCCTTGTATGGTACTGAGACCAGGATAGGCAGTTTTCCAATTTGTAGCATTGAGTGACCTGCTATTATTAGTATTAGTAGTAGTAGTAATACTGTTGTTGCTGTCTCAGTTCTGTCTGCAGACAGGAGAGAAACACTTCAGTTCATGCACAAAGGAGGCAAGGTATCTGCTGAAAGGACAGTCATTCTTTCCCATCAGTATACAAGTAACAAAGGTGTCTTCCCATCTGTTGTACAATGTAAACGGCACCTGTCCTCAGCCTGTTGTAATCCTGTAGAAATGCCCATCTATGAGAGGTGGCCACTTGGCCCATCTAGCCTGCCTGGTAGTTGGGTAGTTATCTGTTACTATTTTGTTTTCAGAAGACGTTGCCCAGCCCAGCATACCTTATGGTTGGAGGTTACCGTTCTGAAAGTTTCCTGTAGCTGTCCAGGCAGTCTGTGCTCATCACTGTTCAGGCAGTGCTGTCTTTTTGGGGTGACCTGAGGCTGAGGAATAGCTATCCAAAAATGTCAGTTTTGGGATGAATGGTTGCAATATGATTATACTGTGGTCTCATTAGAGCTGACATTTCTTCAATTAAATTGGAAGTACATCCATAGTCTAAAGTACACAATCTAAACGGGCCACTTGTGCTCCTTTCATTTGCAGCCTTTCTCATTTTCTTGTCATAAAGACTAATATTCAGGAGGAGACAGACTTACACAGACTCATCCAGGGTAGACTGTCTTAACCCGACCCTGAGCTGCATTAGCCTATTCTGGGAATGCGGCAGGCCATTAGAGTGATGATTACATCGTCAAATTAAAAATGTCCACAGAACTTTTCTGTGTCAGTGCAGCAGCTGACATCAAGAAACACTCCGCTATGAAATTACCTTTAGATCCCCCTGTAGCCCTTCTCCAGAATCTGGGCACGTTTCAGTGCGTTCGCCCTTTATTTCTGCGTTTCACCACTGGAGCACAGCGGTGAATGTAGCTGCCAGGAGTGCTCATGCAGATTTTCATTGTATTGACGTGAATTGATTAAATCAGCAGACACACGCGGCACGGCACACACCCTCCTCTGACAGCCAAGATGGAAATGCACATAAAAGGCAAACCGGATTTACTGTGAAGGTAATATGTTTTCTGTGCTGGAAGACGCATACAGACGTCCTGGGGGGATTTTTCAGATGGATAATGTGCTGTTTAAAAGTCAAGGATTTGTGCGTTCCTACCCCCAGGCCCAGATTCTGCCGACAGACTGAGCCCTGCCATTAACGTAAACTCCTTCAGACATCTCTCTAAGACGCACAGCCGCCTGTCATCAGACCTTCACACTCCTATAATAAGGCCATTTTATTCCGAGAAAAATAATCCTCAGATGTCTGAATGCGGTCTTGCACAGGTTATCCTTGGCTGCACTCCTCATGAAGAACTCTGTGTTCACGTTTGCCCATATTCCGCCGAAGTTCTTACTAACTTCAGGAGCCCAGGACTGCTGTTCTGGGCTGTAAAAAATCTCGCCACTGCACCACAGTAACAGTTTCAGCAGACAGGGTGAGAAGAACTATCAGCCCCAAGAAGGTGGGAGCTGAAATGCATGGTTGTAAACCTCCAGAAATGCTACGTCTAAACTAAACGTTCAGTTAAAGGTTAGGTTTGGATATAAATCTCTGAAACAGCTCTTGGCAAATAATGTTTTGGAGCCCGAGACTGTATGAAAGATGCTTTTGCACTTCAAAACAGAAAATAAAAAAAAGATCTGTAACTGCAAGTAATGCTATTTTGTGGTTTCTGTCAGTAGCTCTTGAATCAGCACATTCTGTGCCATAGGATTTGGCCATTTTGTTACCCTTCCAACGTTTAGGAAATGACCAAACACAGCTGAGCTGAGCAGGCTGTTTTCTGTTCTGAATTTTCCTTCCTGCTCCAATACGAATTCGAGTTAAGTACATCTGGAGCTCCCTAGAGCCTGTTCCCCCAGTGTGTTGGGGATTTTAGAGTAAAGGATTATGTGGGATTGAAGTGGATCAATCTTACTTGATTAAAATTGATTCCGATGCTCAACGATGAAGTTACAAATGAATGAGTTCAAACCAGCTGAACAGCACTTCATTTACTAAGTTGAACAGAGTGAGCTCTGTTGTATTTCATACGCACTGATGAGCGTGTGCCACACAGCCAAGATAATGAGTTCCAGTTCACTTTTGAACTTTGTAGCTTTGAGCAATAACAAGTCAGGCAGAAATGCCCAACTTGTAACCACTATATCCCTTTGAACATTTTGATGACCTTCACAAGCGCACTTACACAATTTCTCTCTGCTCTTCGCATTTACTTCCCCTCTTGCAGAAACACCGAGGCAAATGTTTGTCAGGTTTTGTTTCTGCTCCAAAGCGTATTACACCACCAAATGCTTCTGATTCTGTGAAAAGCCAGAGACTATTGTAGTAATCTGTACCTTGCAGCATGTGGTCTGGTGCACCACATTCGTGAGCAAGGGGGTGATTCGCTTCTGTGGATAAAGTGATTCACAGACCTGTTTGGGATTCCTCTCCCATAAGCAGGCAGGAGCAGACATTATTGTATTTATTGTATTCAGTGGCGGTGCAGACCTTTCTTTTCACAATACTATCTGTATGAGTTATGGGATAAGCTACGCAGCTTTGGATGCCTTGTCTTCTTACTGGAAGTAGGAGCAGGTGTACACAGGCTCTTGAGGTTCCTCTGACGAGAGAGACCTTTTGCCTCTGTCACTGATCGGTTGACGCCACAACTTCTAGCCCAAGTCACTTCTTTCTCAGTGTGTTTGTTACCACTGTTGATCAGCCCAGTACTCGCCGACCAGGCCCTGGAGCAGAGTCTGCGTCAGTCACAGCTCTTCGCTCCTCATGGCAGCAAGGGGATCGCAAAGTCGCGCTTGTTCGTGATCCTAGCTCTGAGTCGGCCGGGCGCTGTAGCTTCATGGTACTGTGGAAGCTGGTGACGTCTGTGGAGATGTAGAGAAATATATTCCCACCTTGTGTCTTACATTAGCACCTAGTATGAGGAGTCAATTTTCAGCAAGGCTCCTGTTTTTCTATTTTAATTCCCTCTATAAAACCGATTCCCTTTAATTCCAGTTCTGTAAATGTAAAAGAAAGGGAATTGGAATTGACCCCAACCCTGACTGACACTGTTTCATGGAAGCTTTGATTGCTGATCTACAGTTTGTTTCGTATTCTATTTTGAGCTTTAAATAGCTCCTGCTTGTAGGTTTGTCTGCCTCCTGCTATCATAGATCGCAGATGAGATGCCACTGTCAAATCATTGTAGTTGGTGAATTAATATTTAAAGCACAGTGATTAACATAGTTGGCGTGGATGGGAACAGACCCTGTGTCTCCTGTAGTGAATGTGCTTCTTTGCTCTGTAACATGCAGAGAATAATGTCTCCCTCTCCTAGTAACTCTTTACTTTTCTGTTGACAGGACACGGCTCTGGACCCGGGAGAGGATGTCGCCCTCCTGTCCGTCAGTTTCGAGGATGCTGAAGCCACTCAGGTGTTCCCCAAGCTCTACCTGTCCCCCAGCATCGAGCAGTAAGACTTTACTCTTCCCCTCTCTCTTCTGGCTGCTGTCACATCCAACAAGAATCCAGAATATTATTTCAGTTCTTTACACAGCAAGGAATTTCAAATGCAGAAAATCTTTGAAAAGCAAGCTAGTGTAGGTATGTAAAAAGCTGTAGTCTGGTTCATTCTTACCAAGCTTGGACACACCAGCAGCAAGATATCCAGCATTCATACAAGTCAGATCTCTGATTTAATTTGATACTGCACAGGAATTTAGTCTTTTTAGTCTCCAACACAAACTGCATTGGGATTCATGGGAAACCAATAAGACTGAATTGTGTTGGATGGCTTCCACCTCTAGTGTTTTTTAAAGAAATGGCTGATATGTTCTTACATAGAATACAGTGTACTTTTGGTATAGTGTTAATGTCGTAAGAATAAATTGTTAAAATTGCAACATAAACTTCAGAGTCTTCTACCCACGGATGAGTGCGTGTTATTGTTTTCAAGACCAATGTTGGGTTGATGGATAGTGAAAGAAAGTTTCATTAAAGTCTGAAGAAATATCATTGTCCAAGCAAATACAGTTCCAATAACAATAAGTATTATATTCAGTAAATTAACGAATGACGCCACTAGAGACAGGCGGTGTCCATGCTCAGAGCTGCAGGTCGGTTTCTCACACAGAATTTGCATATTTGTCCATCTTTCCAACCCGTCCTGTATCTCCCTCTCTCCTGCTGGGGCCGCAGGGTTAGGACAACTCTTGCAAACCCTGACTGACTCGGGCACAGAGAGACACTGGGGCCTGTCTTACCTGCCCCAGCACACAGCAGGCCACGTGAAACAGACCGCCAGCTTCCTCTTATCCTGTGTACACCAGGGCACCTGGAAACTTGCCTCGAGTTTCCAAACCATATCCATGTCTGGAGTTTGTCATGATATCCCACTGTGAAGTATAAACGCGAACATACTAGCACTTTGTATTAAGTGACTGTTATCCCAGTGTAATTATATTTGAACAAACAGAGGATTTCCTGTTGAGTTCAAATTGCGTGTGCTTTTAATATGCTTACATTCACTATTTCACTACGTATTTCATCATCATTCATGAAAGAATAAGAAGGACTGCTTTGAAGAACATAAGAAAAGTTACAAACGAGAGGAGACTATTCGGCACATCTAACCTTTCTGCTAGCTAGTAGCATATGTATCCATCCAGCCATTTCTTGAAAGAAGCCAGAGTGTTGGCTTCAACAACATGGCTGGGTAGCTTGTTCTACATTCCCACAACCATTGGGTAAAGAAGTGCCTCTTGTTCTGGGTTTAAATACACTTCCAACGTTGTTTCCACTTACAGTACATCCTCTGGTTCATGTTTCACTGTTGATTCTGAAGAAATCCACTGAGTTGACTTTATCAGTTAATACATTGAGTAACTGGTACAGGTCCCCTCATTGTCTTCTCAGTTCGAGACAAAAAGGGTTCGGCTCTTCCTGACTGTTAAATGTGCCTTAAGAGCAGAACGTGCTAGCTGAAAACTTGTGCGGCACTTGATCTTCATCAAAGCATGTAATTGGATGCCATTATGTCTGTTTAAGGTCAGGAGTCAGCTCAAACAGGCAGTTGGGAAGCCCTGTTACTTTCCTAGCCAGTCAGATGCAGGTGTGTTGAAAGAGGTACTTAAGTGTCACCTCTTGAGCTCATTCCCTCCAAGTCCTCTGGGCTCCTCCAGCACTGCTCTGAGACAATATTTCCTGATACTTATTTATGAGTGTGTGCCTTGTTGCACTGGGTTAAGAGGCTGTATCAAGGCATCCTCTCCTACTTTCCAGCTCACATAGGCTGCTAGATTCACAGTGACAGGTTATTTACTGCTCCCCCCCATTATCTCCTTGGAAAGAACTGAAAATACACCGTCACTTCAACACAAGAGGACAAACAAGCATTTGGGGAAAATAGTTCTCCGAGCCTCTGTCCCGGTATGTGTCAGTGTCCCTGCTGTTCTTATTGGTGTAAATTGTACTTGACTTCTTTTCAATTAGCAGAAGACAGTCTCAGAGTAAGCTCACAGATATGTCTATTGTATTCAGTGTGCTTCTGTTAGTGCTGTGTAATCTGCTTAGAATTTATGTAGTTAATCAAGTTTGTCATCATTTTGGCAAAAATTGAATTATTTCTTATGACACATCATGCTTTGTATTAGCATTATATGACTAATTAAGTTGCTTCTTACTTACAACTGATGTCAAATAAGCATTCAGTGAAAGGAGTATTCAGTGTGTCTTGCTGTATATTTATACTGAAAAACAAAAGCTGCCAAATGCACACCTGGTCTTAGGCCTTTGAATTTAATAACAGGTTTTAACCACTCACTACCTCAGGCTCTTTAGGAGTGTGAGATACAACATAGATTTACAAAAGAAATTGTATTTTCTGATATCTTCTTCACAAACACAGAAATGACTTCCCTCTTATTCAAGTAATCTGAATTTTCAGTTTTCCGCACTAAATGAAAGCAGTAACTCTCTGAGCATGTAAACACTACAGGCAGGCCCAATATTTGACCTTAGACCAGCATGGATGTGTAAAACAAACCTTTTTGTGTCTCTCTTTTATCCTAAACTTCATTTACCTTGTGAGTCTGGTCATGGGCTGCTTGGTCGATTTTATTCTTCGTCCACCACAGAAGCTTCAGTTATTTATCGCAGCAAACTGCTGCTCTTGGGAGGGCTGACCTTGCCTCAGGGAAAGCAGTGAATTTCAGAGCCTCTGCCTCTCCAGGGTAAAAGGAACAAGCTAATCACTGCCCAGGGCACCGTGGTGCCGGTAGTGGGATTCGTGAAGGCAGTAGGGAGGGAGTGGGGATTGTGGGCGACCTGGCAAAAAGACAGAGGCTCTGTGAGAACAAACGGCAGCCAGCAAAGCAAACAATAAAAGAACAAGAAAAAAAAATTCCTTTGCATTTACTACTGTTGTTTTTCCTTTTGCCTTTTTATGCCAGAACTGTTCTGTTTCTGTGTTTTACAAGGCCTCAGGGCCTCTTGTTCCTTGTCATAGATCCCGCATATGTTTTTAAAAGTTTCGTCCATCTTCGGGAGAGAGAAGGCTTGGAGGAAATGCAGCACTGAAGGCCGTGTTAGTTACGTTTTAAACTTTTGTTTTTGCTCATGCTGAAAGCAAAACAACAATTTCCAATGGATATTCTGCTGCTCTGACTCCAGTGCCCTAGTCAGAGCAGTAGCACATCTGTGGTGAGTTTTGAGTCTTTGCATCATCCTGCTGCAGAACTCCACTCCGGCCTGAGCTTAATTCACTAGCTAGACCCATTTTTAAATTAGTTTTGAATTCATCTTGGAAACACACCCAGAATAAATGAAGAAAGCTGAGGACAAGAGAACAGAGACGTGAGACTATGCAACTTCGGTTTTCACACTACAATGATCTATTCCAGTCGTAGTACTTAGTAATATTAGTATACTCCTTAATAATGGTGTTTGCAAATGAACTGCTAAACCAACGATGAGTTGAAACGGGGACCTATAGTGTAATGGAGCAGCCCAGTGATGAGACACAGGCACAGCCCTTTGGTTGTCTCTATCAAGAGAGGGATGGGGCAAAAGATCATGTTTTTCAAGCTGGTGTGAATCTCAGATCCCTGGTGGGCCAGTGGTTAGGATTTGGAACAGTCTTTGCTGCAGCCCACATTCAAATCCCACTCAGGAAATGTCTCTTTTAAGGCAGACTGGGCTCCAGACCGGAGGTTAATGAGTTCAGATGCTAAGCAGGATCAGGATGAGTTACCTCATTCCAACTTCAGTCAGATTGCATTGTGCTGTAGTGTACTACACTATATTGTACTGTGTTGTACAGTATATAGCTGTATTGTACTGCACTTATTGCACTACTGTGTATATTGTATTACACTGTCTTCTACTGTACTGTACAGTATTGTAATAACCATAATTATACTGTATTAAACCATACTTTACAGTAATATATTGTGCTGTTTTGTGTAAAATTGTATTTGGGCGTTAAAGTATTGCACTGTACTGTACAGTACAATAGTGTACTATATTGTATACACCTGTGTAGTGTATTGTGCTGTACTGTACTATATTGTACTGTGTTATGCTGTACTGTATTGGGTAGTACTGTGCTGTATTTTGTATTAAGTTGTACTGTGTTGGACTGACTGTACAGTACTGTCTTGTACTATATTCTATACACTGGGATTACATTGAAATGTATTTTACTGTGCTGTACAGTACTGTATTATGTATACCGGTATTGTACTGTATTGCATACGTACACGTAAGATACACATAATGTACACATTTCATAACATGCACAATACATACACGTAACACGCACGTAACATAAAATATATATTATATACATAGCACATTACATACACATTTGATGATGTGCACGTAACATAACCTTTACAGTATACACATGGCTCATCATTAATAATGGGAAAGCAAAGGCCATATCACCTGCAACTCACAACTGGCAACCCACTGAAGTTAAGCAGGAGTGAGCCTGGTCAGTACCTGGATGGGAGACCTCCTGGGGAAAACTAAGGTTGCTGTTGGAGAGGTGTTAGTGGGGCCAGCAGGGGGCGCTCACCCTGCGGTCCATGTGGGTCCTAATGCCCCAGTATAGTGACATGGACACTATGCTGTAAACAGGCGTTGTCCTTCGGATGAGACGTAAAACCGAGGTCCTGACTCTCTGTGGTCATTAAAAATCTCAGGGCGTTTCTCGAAAAGAGTAGGGGTGTAACCCCGGCGTCCTGGCTAAATTTCCCATTGGCCCTTACCAATCATGGCCTCCTAATAATCCCCATCTATGAATCGGCTACATTACTCTGCTCTCCTCCCCACTGAGAGCTGGTGTGTGGGGAGCGTTCTGGCGCACTATGGCTGCCGTCGCATCATCCAGGTGGGGCTGCACATTGGTGGTGGTGGAGGGGAGTTCCCATTACCTGTAAAGCGCTTTGAGTGCAGTGTCCAGAAAAGCGC